TATGGACTTCATCTCATCTATCATTTAATCCTTTTTCTGTATTGTTTCTCTCATATCCTCTATGATTTCAAGCAGCATTCTGAAAATTTCTATATGTGGCAGACCAATGCCTGCTTCTTCTTTGTCCGTCATTCGGTTTAGGACATCTTTCTGCCATTGCCTTTGTTTCTCTTTGTTTGTTTTTTTTTCGTTGAGGTCGTTGGGGCTGATTGCTGTTGGCGTTGCATTGTTTTAGAGGAGCCAGGTGCCATTTTCCAGGGAGTCAAAGAGCATTGGCTCTCTCTGGGAGACTTTTAGGAATGCTTCTTTTAACTGCCTGCAGCTAATTTCACTACGGAATCGGCCTACCACTTTATCCTCCTGTGGCTTCACTCTTTCCCTAGTCAACCAGTATTCTGTTATTTGGAGGGTAAGTTGGATGGTCCTCTCATGAGATGCTGGTTGGGTGGTTGTGGACCCATAAGGTTGGTGCTGCACTGGGTGATCTCACAAGAAACAATGATGGTGTGACCAGGCACCACAGAGGGCGTGCAGGGGTGCCTGCTGCAATGGGAGTGCCACAGAAGGCTGGTGGGTTGCCCACTTTAGTGTAGAGCACTGCGACTGGTAGGTGGAATTGCCCTGGTCTGGTAGGTCACTGTGGAGGTTGGGCAGAGGTTCCTACATCAGGGTGGAACATTGGCAAGTGTTGGCCAAGCTGCCTTAGGCTGTGTCAGACACTGAGGCAGGAGGGAGGAAGTTCTCTCAGTCATGTGGGACCACAGATGATGGATAGGATCTCCCCCAGCCACACAGGCAGGATTTTCCCAGAAGAAGGTGGTTGGGATATCCCCTGGTGAAGGGCAGGCAGGCTTTCCCCAGCCTCGGTTTATGCTGCAGAGGGTGGAGTTCTCCCAGCTGGGTGGAGAGCAGGCACAAATGCCCTAGGCTACGGGGAGTGGTCTGGAGGTCAGCAGTAGTGTGTGAGGAAAAAGAAAAAGAGGAAAGAGGGAAGAGAAAAATAGAAGGAAAGAACACTAAGCTCACTGAGACTGTGGGGGGATAGAGAGGAGAGAGGGAAATAAAAGTAACAATATACCTGAGCCCCTATCCGTGACTGGAGCTGGAGATGTTTAATACCTGCCCTGTGGCTGTATCAAGCTGTTGCTGTGTTGAGATAAAGACCCTGCGCTGGCCCCAAATGATCCCAGCTCCAGCTGAGACAGTGGCGAGGCCAAGGTCAAACCCTAGCCGGCCTCCACTCTGGTAAGCCAAAAGCCCCCAACTCCTCAAAACCTAGTGAATCTGTGCCTGCTTATCTTTATGATGCTCCTCCTGTGACCTGGCAGTGTGGAATTTCCCTCTTAGTAACTCTTCTGCACTGATTTCTGGGGAGTCCCTCTGGTAGGTGTTACACAGTTGGCATCTTCCCGGAAGTCCCTGTCTACACTCCTTCATGTCAATTTGATTGCTTGTTTTTGAATTTCTGATACCTATTCCCATCGACACCTCATTATCACACAAACTGGTGTGCTTCTTTCATGTCGGCCTTTTTGCTTCCCTGCTAGATGGACACTAGTTTAACAACAACCCTTTAAGACCCCAGATGCTATCTCTTTAATACCTGAGAACCATCAGCTTATTTCACCACATTTTTTATGCACCCATTTTGTCTTCAGTGATTGAGTGATTGTGTTGGGAAGGTGAGTATCATACATTGCCACATTATCAGAACAACCTGTTCTTGTACTGAGGTAAAATTTAAATAGAAGTCCAAAGTCCATCTGCAAGACTTCATCTCACATTCTACGGACATGTTATGAGGAAAGACTAGTGGCTGGAAAGGGACAGAATGTTTGGAAAGAAGAACAACAATGAACATGATCAAATAGAAAGAATTTTACTTCTTCTTTGCCAATTTGGATGTCTTTACTTTCCCTTTCTGGTCTGACACTAGCTAATCTTCCAGCACAATATTGTATAAGTGGTGATGCAGGGTATCTTCGTGTGGCTTCTATTTGCATGGAGAATGCTTTCAGTTTCTCTTCACTGATGTTGGTTATTGTTTTTGAAATATACCCTTTATTATTTTGAATAATTTCCCTCCTATTCCTAGTTTGTTGAGTACTTCTATCAGGTTTTGTTGTGGTCTTCTTTAAGGTCAACAATTCCAACACACAGGCTGCTCCAGGGGATAAATCTCTCCTGGAGATATTCATGGCTCAGAATCTCCATACAACTATGCACTGAAGTCAACTTGATGGTGGCGTATTTGGTTTAACTGAAAACTTCTGGCAAAAGTTGAACATTGCCGTGTTGCAGCAGACCAGCTGCTGATTCATTTGCCTATCTCCACTCTGGCTCCTTTTGCTCAGCATCTACTCCTAGTGAGTACTCCATCCACTTCTCTGTCTGTTTTTTGCTGAAACTCAGTGTTCCAGAATTCACATCCATCTCTTGTTCATTTAATCATTTCAAAGTAGATGGTTTATGTAGCATGTCTATTTAGGCCATCATCTTGTCAAAAGTACCACCAGGTGATTTTTAAATCTTCTTGGGGAATCTTATTACGATGTAGATTTTGATGCGGTACATCTGGAGCATCCAACCCAAACAATGAAGCCAACCAACCCACTGCCATCCAGTCAATTCTGACTGTGAGTGATTTTGTGACAGAATAGAAATTCTCTTTACAGGTTCCAAGACTGTCCGTCCTTTTGGGAGCAGATAGCCTCTTTTTTCTCCCACGGTTTGAACTACTGGCCTTGTGTTTTAATAGTCCAATGTTTACTTTACATGTCACCATGGATATGTGAATCTCAGTACTATATCCAAAATGATCTGGTCTGAAGCCCTGTGCAGGAATGCACTAATGTTTGCCGTATTACACAAAATAAACCTGGAAGCACTTACATCTTTTCTTTTCAAACTTTACATAACAAAACATGTCCAGCCAGTTATTGGATCTGAAGAACCTGCTCTCCCACCCCACCCCCCTTCAGCATTCCTATGACATATATCAGACTAGATTTTCCGGTGCTTCTATCATTACTCATGTCTCACCTCCAGTAGACAATAAGGCAGATGTTTTTCCTTCATGATTGGATGGCTGTGCAAGAATTCTGACATCCCTCCTTCCTATTATGCTCACAGTGAAACTGGACTTTCTGACTACCACCGTATGAAAATAGCTGGACAAATGCTTCAATTTCGTCTCAAAGTTTCTCAATTCATACAGTGTGACAGCGTAATGGGTCCAGGTCTGAGAACTCATATAGTTCAATTTCCTTAGAGAGAAGTACATCGTGAATGGGTCCCTGGGTGATGAAAACAATTAATATGCTCAGCTACTAAACAGAAGGTGGGAGGCCATCCATAGGCATCTTAGAAGAAAATCCTGTGGGGAAGTA